TTTGGTTTCTGAGAAAATAAAAATGAAAACAAAAGCTGACCACTCAAAATTGCTCACAATCAAAATCAAAAGAAAACAAGATGCCAAACAGGGCAATTAGCAAACCCAGATCTGGGTTTTTCTCGAACCCTTCCCCTTCCTCCCAAGATCAGCGGCGACGATGGTGATGATGACGCTGCTTCTCCTTTGTCGTCCTCTTCTGTGGAAAAGCAAGAGCAGGAGCAGGAGCAGAATCTGGTGCGAAGGAGAACCCAGGATCTGCAACTCGTAAACGATCAAGGAGGAATCAAAAATCAATTACCTCGAAGGGTGGAAACCAGAATCTGGAAAGGGAAGAGAAGTCGAAAGAGATGGAGAAGGAGAAGAAATGTTGGGGGAAGAGTGAAGAGGAAGGGGAGAATAAGGAAGAAGAAGGTTAATTTTGAAAAGGTTTAAGTACCATTTTGGTCCCTCAACTTTTGACTTTGACACCAAAATTGTCCCTCACCTTTAAAAAGTACCAAAATTATCCTTAAACTTTCATTTTCGGTACCAAAATGATCCTTCCGTCAGTTAAATGACAAGTGGCACGTTAAAATGACAGCAAATCAATTCTTTTTTTTTTCTTAACTAATGACATGGAAAAAAAAAAACATAGTTGGCATTTTTTTTATGAATTGGCATTTTCATTTAATTTAAAAATAATAATTCTTTTTTTTTTCAACCACGTCAGATTTCTTCTTCCTCTTTCATTTTCTCTCTCCTTTACCTCTCCTTTTCTCTTACCTCTGCAAACCCAGGCTCTGGGTTTTCTCAAACGGCCGAGAAGCAAGCGATGATCGTCACCGTCGACGACAGCGAGCCAAACCTTCTGCTACTACTGTTGTCAGCCTTCTTCTTCTTCTCTCAAATCCAAATCTGGGTTTGAGAGAAAAAGAAGAAGGCCGACGGCAGTAGTAGCAGAAGGACCCAGATTTGGGTTTGTAGTTTAAATTAAATCAAAATAAATTGGCTCCAACTCAGTTAAAATTCGTTCAAATCAGCACAAAGAGGATCCAAAAGTCAATCGAAAACACCAAATACAAATTAGATTGACGGCTTAGTTTCCAGGAAAGGCTGAGATCTTGCTGTCGAACTTAAACCTAATTGTTGCAACTGCAGAAGAAAATCAAACCCTTGTTGAACAAGAAGAAAATCGGAGCTTCAACAAACCCAGATCTAGGTTTCATCACATAAATTAAGAAATTCGTAAAGAAAATGAGTGTTTGAGATAAATTGAAGAATAAATTTATGAACTTGGTAATGGATTATGTGTCTAGGCGAGAGACGAAGTCGGCATAGTCACGATTCTCACCGACGAACTTGTTTCAATCCAGAAAGAAGGAAAACCCAGAAAGAAAACGAACCAAATTTTCTAGGAAAGCAAACAAGTTTCAATCTTAGCGCAGAAAAATGTCAACAATTAAAGACAACAATAGTGACAACCCAAAATCCACAGAGATGTTTCAACTTTCAAAGTTACAAAGAAAAAACCACGATCAAAATCACTAGAGAAAACCCAGATTTGTGAAATCCAGATCTGGGTTTGAGAAACACCCAGATCTGGGTTTGAGCAACAACCCCACCTCACTTTCTTCCCCTTCATTATTTCACCCACACCCCTCATCGCATCCCCTCAGCCGCTCCTCCTCGTTCGTTGACTGCCGTGCAACTGCTTTCCTTCTCATCCTCTCGTGACAAACCCAGATTTGTGAAACCCAAATCTGGGTTTGAGAAACACCCAGATCTGGGTTTGAGCAACAACCCCATCTCACTTTCTTCCCCTTCATTATTTCACCCACACCCCTCCTCACATCCCCTCAGCCGCTCCTCCTCGTTTGTTGACTGTCGTGCAACTGCTTTCCTTCTCGTCCTCCCGTGACAAACTCAGAAGCAGAACTCCGTGGCACAAAGTAGAGGAAAAGTTGCGCAGAGGAAAGGGAAGAGGATAGGAGAGCAGAGCAAGAGGAACAAGTACCGACTTTGAGGCGTCCGGAGCCACGTGCAGGGGTCTAGCACAAACCGAGCCAATGCGAAGCTTGCTTCATCATGAATTTGTGTGTGGTGTTTGTGAAAAAAAATGTATGGTGTATGGTGTTTATTACTTGTATTTTTTATTTTAATGTATGAATTTTCACCAGATTGAGAAAAACCCAGATCTGGGTTTGAGAGAGAAAGACGAAGGGAGAAGAGAGAGTAAAAGAGGAAGAGAAAGAAGAGCTGTTTTATTTTTTGACGTTGATAAAAGAAAAAGATATAATTATTTTTAAATTAATTAAAAATGTCAACTCATAAAAAAATATGTTTTTTTTCCATGTCATTGATTAAGAAAAAAAAAAGAATTGATTTGCTGGCATTTTAACGTGTCATCTGTCATTTAACTGACGGAAAGACCATTTTGATATCAAAAATGAAAGTCTAAGGATAATTTTGGTACTTTTTAAAGGTGAGGGACAATTTTGGTGCCAAAGTCAAAAGTTGAGGGACCAAAATGGTACTTAAACCTTTTTATTATTCACATGCCCATGTTAGAATTGCTATTGCAGCTTGCATTAGTGAGATGATGAGAAATTACTACTCTAGATGCTTCATATGATGATGACAAAATGGAGATATTTAAATTAATTGTTTCATCATTTGAGCATTTGTTTGAAATTGTAACAGCTCATATTAAAATAGAAGAACAATTCTGAGCATTATGACAAGGGTTCAATCTTGTGTTTTGATGTTGGATCTTGAATGTGATGCACCAATTATTGAAATGTTCCAACATTTTCTATTATCAATTCGAGATTACTACCCACAAGTTGTCTTTGACCATATGGAAAGTATCATGACTCCTGTTTTACTAGAAAGTGAAGATATTTCTATGGAACTAGTATCTCTATTACTTTTGTGTGTGGAAAAAGATGATATGGTTGTTTTGCCTGTTGCACAAAAATTGTTAAGGAAAAGTGCCTGTAAATTGTGCTACTAAGTTGGAGCCTTATTTGAGAAAGGATGTAGCAGATAATTATGTTCCTAATGAAGAAATTCTAAAGTCCACTATTTGCCATGGTATTCCCATACCCAAGGAAGATGATAGTAACGTAGTGACAAAACATGATACAGTGAAAGTTCAAGGAAATAATTTGGTGGGTTACTTGACTTCTCTCTTGTTGGGTTCTAAACAAGAATTCAAGCCAAATAAGTTACTTGAAGAGCTTCAACATTCAAAGGTCAATGACATGGTGGAAAATAGAGAAGATTTTGACAAAATGGTATTCAAGAAACTTCCATAATTAGAGCCAAATGGCTTAGTGGAAGTTGTGGAAGTAAATTTTGAGTTCTTCTCTATCTTGCAAGTTGTTCAAACTGTTTAGTTCATTTTTTCAAAAGAATGTGATGCTAAACATCCTAGTTTGAAATCTACTTTGAAGTCTATTTTGTTTGGTTTGAAGCTCCAAGTCAAGTTACCAAAAGCACTATAGTTGTATTCTTTTGTTACCTCGAATTTGTATGGCTTCAACACTACAAAACTCGAGGTTGAGTTTTCACCAAGTGAGGGAGAATGATGTAGATAAGGAAGGAAATAATATATTTATTAGGATTTTATTATGATTACAAATATATAGGAATTAAATGTAAATATTACTAGTAACTTATATTTATTGGGATTTATTATTGTCTTTGAATAAAAATTCAATTGGGATCTAATTACGAAGGAAGTCTAATTTGGGTTTTTAGCTTTTATATTTAAGCATAGGTTATATTAGGGTTATTCAGTTGAAGTGTTTATGAATTGAAATTATCTTCTAGAAATCCCTAATTTTGCTACTTTGTTTCCACCCTTGCCTTTGTTCCTAAGTTCTATCCTCACCTTTGCTTCTTGTTCTACATCAACTAGATAGGAAGGGAAAATTAAAAGGTGTGGATTAAAATAGTTGGTTGGTAAACTAGATTGTTGCTGTGTTTTGGAATGTAATATTACTGGTAATGTTTTTGCATGTGCAATTGTAGTTGAAGGTGTATGTACAAGTTGGAGTACCTTTTGTATTTGAATCAAATAAAATTTCTTTAGCCTTTTAAAGAAAAAAAAAAGTTTACGTAGTTGATATTATTAGCAGGAAGAGACTAGACGGTTTATGTAGGGGTTATTTCTTTAAAAATTGTATTTTCGTTTGCATGATATGGTTACTTGGATAACATATTTCATGCCTTAGTACTTTTCTAGTTTCATCCTTTCTTTTTTCATTTCTAGGTGAAACATACAAATGGATTGTTAATCTTTTGGTGCAAAATATCAAGATTTATCTTGTTAGTACTTTTTGTTCTTTTTTTCTTTTTCTTTTTCTTTTTCCTTTTTTTTTTTTTTGGGTAGACTTGGCTCTTTTTGTATAAGTATATAGAAATGGGCAAAATACCCAAATCTATCCTCAAACTATAGTGACAAGGACAGATCGATCCCCGAACAAAAAACAGGGACAAATCCACTCACAAAGTTTTCAACTTTGACAAATAACCCCTATTTGACAAGCTACGTCAACTGACATCATCTTCCCGTTAACAACGTGCTTACTCAAATATTTTAAACACGATGGAGGTTTGTTTGCCTGCGTGAATGTCGAATTGACCCATTCTTGCCCATTTTAATCCTAAGTGGCAATTATTCCCCCTTTTTCCATTACACATCAACTAGCCCCCACCTAAAAATATATAACCCCTAAAAAAAACCCAAATTTTATCTAAGTCTTCCCCCTTCCTTCCCTCTTTTCCTAAAATTGTGGGTTAGGTTTTCTCTTTATCCTCCAAATTTGGGTTAAAGGAAGCTAATTCCATGGCATTTTCCTCTAATTCTCAATCATTAGGACTTGAAGCTTCTTCTGGGGTAAGGGATTTTAGGTTGATTGAACACATATACAAAAGGCATTAGATGTTCTGAAAATGTGGGTTCAAGGCATCGAGGTGGACTTCATGGAGACCATGGAGCATTGGTAGACACTTTTATGGGTGCTTGAACTTCTTGAATGTTGTACACATAATTTATTTGTTATGGGTATGCAATTTTGTTTTATCTTATAATAAAATTTACACTTGGACATATTTTTCATGTAGGATTTGAGGTGTGCATATTTTGTTTGGCATGACTTTGAATTGACAATTGAGAGAGCTACTGAGCTTTTAAAATTGTTGATTAGTGAGAAAAAGTGTATGAGCAATGAAATTACAACTTTGAAAAGGGAATTCAAACAAAGAAATGTGGGTGGAACTGTACCTATGTTAGATGAGTCACCTGTATTGGTTGAGTCAAGCCATGCCACGTCAAGTGCTAACCTATAGGAATCTAGTCAAAGAAATGGAGTTGAGTTGGAGGAAATTATAAAAATGCTGTGTCAAGAGCTATTGATGATGTGAAGAAAAAGTTGGATGCATCAGTTTTAGCCTCAGTCCATTTTGAAATTAAGAAATTAATCTATGCTTATGTACTGGCTTTGGGGTTTGGGTTTGTATTGGCTATGTTCATTTGGTTCTTATTTTGAGATCCTTGCTGTAAGGTATAGCAAATGCCATATTTTGGTTTGTTTGTTAAGGACATGGCATATTCTGCCTATTTTGTAAGAACATTTTGGTCATGTCCATTTTGGTAATAACCAAATGTAATTGACTTTTTGCAATGGGCAATAGCTAAATCATAATGATGCCACTATATAAGCAAATTTGATTGAATATAATGCCATTGAAATAAAGCAAAACAAGGCATAATAACCACTTGTACATCCCTAAACAAGGCATAATAACCAATTGTCAATTGTGATTACAAACCACCAACATAGACATACAAAAGTTCAAAGTACATCCCCAAAACAAGAAAATATAAAATGACACTGAGTCATGCTTTCTCTTTTCCCTTTATAGATGATTGCTTTGACTACTTTCTTGAGTCTTATTTGCCTTCATTGATGACTAGTCCTCCAACTTGCATAATATACTAGTCATCAAACACTTGAAATTTAATTTGTTAAATAAATATTCAAACACAATAATTTTGGAAAAGAACTTACACAATCAATCTTTCTTTTGGCCCTTGATTCCCTTTTAAGTGGTTTCTTGCCTCTAGCATCATTCACCCTTTTCTTGGCAATTTTTTCAATTTGTTCTTGCACATTTTTCCCTTTTCCTTTTCCTACAATCACCTTGGGTTTTTGGTTGGCTTTTTTCTTTTGATGCTTTTTATCAAATTGAAATTGTAGCATTGAAATTTAGGCCAACAAAACAAGACAAAAATTTACATGAGGTAGTGTAATCAACATAAACTTACATTGTTTTGACTAGTCCTTACTAACTCCTCCTTTTTGGGACATCTAGCTCTATTGTGTCCTTGTTGACCACATAAGCTACAACTCATCACAAACCCATGCTTGGACAACCTATTGAATCTCCCCACCTTAACTTTCTTTGGCTCATGCTTGTCTTTTCTTCTATTCCTCATTGGTTGTCCTGGTAGTGTTCTCAATACTAGTGGTAAACAACCTCCTTCTAGTCTTCTCTTCAAGACCTCATTGCCTCTAAGGCACTCTAGTGCAATCCCATAAGCTTGCAGGTACTTTTCTTCTTATAGTGCTCATGAACAAAATCTTCATAATTCTAATTCAGGTACCTAACAGTTGACAAGACATGAAGTCAGGGGATTCCAATTAAATCCATTATCTGCATGAATAATTTTTTGCTATGAAATCAATGACATGTGTCACATCAAGTAGTACCACACACAGCCAATGAAGGGTCCCCATTCCACTTGACATAGCACTGCATTGACCTCACAATATTCTCCTTTATCTTTTTCATGACTCTAGGTGCATTATCATTCGACCATCTCTCTATAAACAACCTTTTTTCCCTAAATCTCTCCATCAACTGGTCAATTAAAGTTCTAATCATAAAAATGATTGCTTACATCTAGTAACCAAAATCCATGAATTGAATATTTCATACATGTTATCAACGACATCACACTTACAATCTTCATTAAAGAATGCCTTACACCAAAACCTTCCTGGCAGATCCATCATCTCAACATAAGCTTCCTTAGATACTCCCCTTAACTCTTCCATTTTCTCCAAAAATTCAATCAGGTATGATGCCCTAATAGCTATCTAAAAGGCCAGTTTGATATCATCCCCTCTGTCCCTCTTTG